CAGTTCTGAGACCCCTGGCTCATTGGGTGCGTCTCTCCTGCAGCTGAGAACAAGCTTCCCAGCTGGGGTAGCCATACACAGGCTAGCTCTGCTGGAGCCAGAGCGCTAACATAGCCATGTGGCTGGGATATCAGGGGCAGTGGCTCAGGGGAGCTGCCCGAGTCCATCCCCTGGAGATCTGGGTGGGTTTGTATTTCAGCAGCTGGCACAAGCTGCTGCACTTGGTACCCAGCCACACGGCTGCTCCAGGCCCTGCCTGGGCAAGGGGAGTGAACTCTCCTCTGCCGGCCCAGGCTGGGAAGCTCACTCCCAGCTGCAGCCTAGATGGACCCAGAGCTGGGACCAGCCACATGTGACTGCTCAGAATGGCTCAGGCTGAACCCAAACTGGTCTCCCTCTTCTCTCCACAGAGAGCCAGAGGCTGAACCGGACACTTGGTAAGTTCACCCACCTCTCCAGTTGAGGCCCCAGACAAAGGCTCCCAGCCACACCTGATGCTGAGAAGATTCTGAAACCCCCACTCCACAGGGCAGGGCTGATGTGCTGTTTGGGCTGAAGTCAGAACCACATTAGAGTCACCCTGTTCCCAGCGCAGCGCTGTGAGCTGTGCGCTGTGAAACCTACTCTCATGCCTGGTTAGAAAAGCAGGTGTCACCTGCCTTTGGCAGTCTAGTACCAGTCACATTGTTCTGCTGCAGGAGAAGGGGGTCAGCCGGTTTCTAGAGATGCCTGCTGCAGTGCAGCCTCTGCTGAGCCATTTCACAAAATGTAGCTTCTGTTTCCATGCTGTGTTGCCAACACCAGCTCTCAGGTGTGAGTCCCAGTCATCTGTATGTCCAGCCCCTTAATTGTACCTGAGTGTGGAGCTCTGACGCTCCGAAGGGCTGTCAGTAAGACGAGGAATTCCCCTGTGACAGACGGGCTGTGGATGTCAGAGCTGTATCCAGATCCAGACCCAGTCTGTCATCAGTTTTGGATGCTTTGCCAATCCCAGGGATCCTGCATGCTGGAGTGTGTCACTCACCATCCACTCTGCTCCTGACCCCCTGCCGTGGGGCTGGGAGTCTGGCAGTGGGGACCAGTTGTTGTAGAGCACACAGGATCTCACAGCGCATCTGTGTCTAACCCTTTTCTCTTCCCCATTCCAGAGTCTAAAAGGCAGGAAAATGAGAAGTTAACAACAGGTACTTGGTAATCCCTGGGGACTGTGTGTGTCTGTGCTAAAAAAATCACCATGCACAATGTGTTGATGTCAGTCGCCTTTCTGGTCATTTCTCCCTACTCTGGAAATAGCGAAACTCTGCAGGGTTTGCAGCTCCCATTTCAGTATCATCCCTAATGACCAGAGTGGCTGTTGTGCACGGGGGTTAGTGGGATTCGATGAGGCTCTGGGCAAACTCCTTCCCTGCCTTTGTGCTGCTACGGCTCACTACTGACCTACAAATCCCTGCTATTCCCATGCTGGGCTGCTACATACACACAGCTCTGCCAGTTCTTCTCAGAGTCCCCAGGAACCCCCTGCTATCTGAGCCCTGGTCCCTCCAACTGCAGAGCTGAGCTGGTCACCCCATATCCTGCCCTGCAGACACTGGTCACACTGAGCACCTGCCAGCCGTACAACTGCAGGGAACCCGAATACAGTGAGGGGCCCCCTGAAAGCCCAGACCTCACCTCCAGGTCTTAGCACAGGGCTGCCCAGGGCTCTGAACTGTGTCCCCCACCCAGAGTCACCTCGCACAGCCACATGCCATGGCGCTGGGAGAGAACTGAGCCTGCAGGGGTCCCAACGGCAGAGACACTGCCTATGCCTAGGGCTAGAAGAGACCTCAGGAGTCCCTGAGTCCAGCCCCCTGCCCAAGGCAGAGCCAACCCCAACTCAATCAACCCAGCCAGGGCTTTGTCAAGCTGAGACTTAAACACCTCTCGGGATTGGAGATTCCACCACATCCCTAGGGAAACCAACCCAATGCTTCACCACCCTCCATACACAGTGCCTAGGTACCACAGATTGGAATAACCCACCTCCTGTTTCTGAAACCTCCCCTTGCTGAACCATCAATGGCTCCTTTTCCTCTCTCCCCAGAATGCCGGGAGCTGCGTCGGAACCTGGGTAAGTTCATCCACCTCCCCATTAGAGTCCCTGGGCAGAGGCTCCAGGCCTCACATGATGTTGTGTAGATCCAGAAACACCAACAGCACAGGGCTGTCACCTGGCCTTTCCCAATCCAATGCCAAGCATGTTGTTCTGATGCAGGGAAGGGAGCTAGATACTTTCTGTAGACGTCTGCTGCAGCACAGGTGCTGCTGGGTCACTGCTAGAACATGGCTCATGTTTCCCTGCTTTGTCACAAAGGGCCGATCTCAGATGTGAGCCCCAATCGTCTACACCCCCACCCTCTAGTTAGACCTGTAGGACACAGCATGGGCACCCCAAAGAGTTGTCAGAAATGCAGACAAGGATTTCCCCTGAGACGAAGGGGCTGGGAATGTCACAAGTATCAGGATCCAGACCCACGTCTGCCCTCACGGTCAGATTGTTTGCCAATCCCAGGGCACGAGTATGTTGGTGTACATCACTAACTGCTAGCCCCACTCCTAGCAGGCTGCTGGCTCTGACGATGGGACTCTGGCTGTGGGTGTCCGTAACTAACCATGGTCATTTTGGGGCACAGGCCCTCACCCAGCGCGATTCTGCATCTATCTGTTATCTTCCCATTTCAGAGTCAAAGGAGAATGAGATCAAGCAGCTGAAATCAGGTACCTGGATAATGGCTAGTGAATATGTCTTCATGTCTTCATGCTCTAACCCAATGGCAAAATCCCTATACCCATGCATGGACTGCAGTCACTTCCTGATCATCTCCCTCTGCCCTGGAAATATTCACACGCTGCTGGGTTGGCAGCTCACATTTCAGTATCAACCTCAATGATGCTGAGTGTATTTAATGTCCATGGATCAGTGGGGTATAGGGAGGGGCTGGGGAAAGTTCTACACCAATTCTGGAAGGCTGTGTCTACATTGGC